ATACCCTCCCCTCGCACAGGAACATAAGATACTCAGCAGACACACAGGCTCACCTGCACCCCATGCAACATACATGTGCCTTCTCTCACCAACGCACAAGCATATACATGCACACAATCATGTGCACACACAGCATTCCCACAGATCCCTCAGGTACACACTCAGACGTGTAAGCGTCCAGACACCAGTGAGCTTGGGGCAGTGACCTTTGGCATGCATTCATCTCCTCAAGTCTGTACGTTGAACCAGGTCCCCAGAGCTCACTGAAACCCAGCCCCCAGCCCCAGCTACTTTATGTTAGTGATTCGTGCCAAAGACTCTCTCCGGCACATCTCCATCCTATCTAGAGGGCTCCCTCCACCCCCGAGGTAGCTGAGGTTTGGGGCATGAAAACCATAGTCATCTCCTTAGGATGGGACCATCTTTATGACACAACCTCTCTGACCAGGACCCCTCTCCTCCTCCCACATCCCACCTGTTAAGAAGTTGGATCTGTCTTATCCAAATCACCTTCTGGCTGGATGGGAGCCCTAGGCTGACAACTGGCACATGAGGAAGAGTTTGTGATGGAGGACAGACTGTGCTTTGAGCCTTTCCCCACTTGGGTTTGTTTTCCTATTAGGCACAGATTGCAGTGGGAGAAAAAAAACAACTAGTGTGTGGTAATAATTAGGAAACTTTTTTCTAGCCCCAATACTGCCATTTATGAGCCGTATGACCTGGAGCAAATTGCTCCCCTGCTGAGCCTCAGTTTCCCCATCTGTAAAATGGCCTTGAGTTTCAACCCTGCTCTAAAAGTGTAAGGAATTGCCCAACCAGTTTGGCTCAGTGGATAGAGCATCGGCCTGTGGACCAAAGGGTCCTGGGTTCAATTCCACACAAGGAGACACTTACCTTGGTTGCAGGCTCCTCCCCGGCCCGGGCCTTGGTGGGGGGAAGGGGAAGGGTGTGCAGGAGGCAACCAATTGATGTGTTTCTCTCACATTGTAGTTTCTCTCTGTCTTTCCCTCTCTCTTCCACGCTCTCTAAAAAGATCAATGGAAAAATATCCTCAGGTGAGGATTAATAAAAACAAACAAAAAAAGTGTCAGGAATTATTCCTAGGCAAATCAAGCTTATTGGGAACAAAACTCATTACAAGAAGAAAACTCGTTATAATGGCAACGAACCCATGTCCACCTGTTGGCTACATGTTACTTTTCAAAACTGCTCTTTTCAACCCTGTTTTCATGCCTACTATCTCAAAGGCTTAGCTAACTCTTCCCGACACCGGACTAGAGGCTGCCTGGTGTGGGGATAGGTCTCTCCCACCAAACCTGATGAGCAGGAGCCAGACTGCCTTGGAAAAGCCAAGTGTCACCCTGGGAATGGAACCTCGGTGTCTCTGTCCTAGGACCTGCTGAGCCTCAGAGAGTCCGAGGGATCTGCTTACCCTCCCAACTCCCCTCAGATGTGTAAGGAACTCTCTGCTCCCTAATTCTCCCCATTTCTTCCCCAATGATCTAGTCACCGAGGCCCCCCCCTCCCAAATCCCCCCCAGGCCGTCCCTCCCTGCCAGAACCCCATCCCTGCCTCAGTCCTCGCTGCTTCTGCACTCACCAGCCCCGGGGCCAAGGACAGAAAACAGCAACAGCAGCAACAGGGCTGGTGGCAGCTGGAGCCCGGACCTGAGCCTGAGCCGGGACTGGGAGAGGGGCCGGGGGTGAGGGAGAGGGGTAGGTGGTGGGAGAGAGGTGGGTACACACAGAGAAGCGGGCAAAGGCTGAGAGAATGGGCTGGGCCGGGCTGGGCACGCGAGCTTGAAAGGGGGCAGCGGGTGGGATAGAAGGAGACACTGTGATGGGGACTGGAGTGATAAGGGCAGGGTTTGGGCCCTGGGCTTAAGCAAACACTGGGGCTGGGATTGGGACCGGGGTGGGGCTGGCATTGGTGACAGGAGCTGGAACCAGGGCAGAGGAGGGGATGGGGGCCCGGCCAGGGCCTGGGTCCGAGGCTGGAGGGGGGGCCTGGGTTGGGATCTGGACCTGGGCATTCGCTGGTGTCCGGGCGGGGACAGGAACCTATTTGGGAAGCGGGCCGGGGGAGGGGCCGAGGCCGGGGGCCTAGGCCCGGGGCGGGATGCTGGGACCTGGGGCCGGGACCGGGGCTGGGCTGGGCCGGGGCCCGGGGCGGGGGCGGGGGCGGGGCCGGACGGCCGGCGCGGCGCTCGCAGAGCTGACCCGCCGCTCCGCTCCCCACCCCCGGGGGCGGCCTCGGCGTCCTCGCGGGCCCGGGGCGGGCGAGCCGGGGACCGGGCAGGAGGGGAGGCCTGGGCGACTCAGGGCGGCGCGGAGCCGGCGATCAGCAGGCCCCGCGGCGGCCGCGGGCTGACGTGATGGCGCCCCGCCCCTCTGTCGGCGCGATTGGTCCCGGCTGGGCTCCGAGGACAGACTCCGCCCAGCCCAGCCTCCCGTCCGGGCCACCCGGCCCCCGGCCCCCGGCCCCCAGGATCCCACAGACCCCACGGGCCGCCCCACAGACAGCTCATCGGAACCCCGCAGAGACCCTCCCAACCCCGGACGCGCACGATGTCCCCACGGAGGTCCGCCAAGCCTACCCGGAGCCCGCCGGGCGCGGTGCTGCCAGCCCTCCGGGGAGAGAGACCTCGCCCCCCGGAGACCAGGCTGCTGCTGACGCCGACTGTGAGGGTTCCATTGCCCTGGCGACGGACCCCTTCTCCTCCGGCCTGGGTTCTAGAAGCTTCAATCAAGGCTCCCGGCCCGCCCTGCTTCCCCTCCCAGCCTTTCCCACATCTGGCCAGCGCTCCTTTGGGGATTGCTGCAGGCGCTCACCTCTCCGGGCAGCACCGGCGCCCTGCAGCCGGATTCCATCCACAACCAAGAGCCTTCCCTCTCTCGGGGCTCACACGTCCCACGCCCAGCTCCAGGCAAGAGCCTGACCCAAGGACTTGTAAAAGCCAAGCCAAAGCCCAAAAGTATGTAGTCTCCAATGTCCACCTCTGAACCTTCAGCCGGTTTCCTTCCTAGCACCTCTGTCCCTTCCCACCTCAGTGCAACCCACTCCCATTCTCTGCTTGTCATCCTTACCTTCTTCTCCCCCTTCTGCTTCTCCTTCCTCTCTCTCTTCCCATCCCCTGGTTCTCCACCCAGCCCCCAGCCCTTTTTCTTCTTGCCCAAGTCTAGTCGTCTTACTCCCCACCATCCTACCTTTCCCCTGCTTCCCGTCCCACACTTGCCCTTTGGAAAGGCCTTTGATGAGTTTAAGGGATATATTTAGTATCTCAGGAGCATGAAGGGGAGGGGCCAGGGGGGAGGAACAAATGCAGGAAAAGTTAAGGCTGGAATCCTTAGGTACTGTTGCAAATGACAGGCCTTGACTATCAGGGCCAAGAAAGTTGGACTTAATCCTTAGACTAAGTCAATGAGTATTTTTTTTAAATATATTTTTATTGATTTTAGAGAGGAAGGTAGCGAGAGAGAGGGATATTTTCTCTCAATGATGACAGAGAATCACTGATTGGCTGCCTCCTGCATGCCCTCCACTGGGGATCAAACCCGAAACCCAGGCATGTGCCCTGACCAGGAATTAAATCTTAACTTCCTGGTTCATAGGTTGATGCTCAACCACTGCATCAGGTGGGCCAGGCAATGAGTATTTTTAAGCAAGGAAATGCTGAGGTTAGGCTTGTATTTTAGAGAGATCATGATTGGGTCATTAAGGAGTGCTCACTTCTTTTGGAGATACTTCTAAGAGAGATCAGGCTGCAGCAGCAGGTGCGACCTGCATAAGCACTAGTGGTATAGTGCGTGATGCACTGCTACACCCCCCGAATGGGTCCCGGAGTGTGAAATGGCGCAGGCCAGGCTGAGGGGCCCCCCACCCCCATGCATGAACCCATACACCGGGCCTCTGGTAAAAGTATTAGTTATCTAAATCAATGGTAGAATGGGCCAGTGGGTTAGTATGCTGGGAAAGGCGACAGAGGGACAAAGTCATCTCTAAGGCCCCAGAGGAATACCTGACATAATCCAGGTAGAAAATGATGAGAACTTGAACAAAATTGGAGGGAAAAAGAGAGGAGAGAATGGATTTGAGGTATGTTTAGAAGATAGGAAATACAGTCCGTGATGCCTATGTGAAAATAAGGGCTGAGGGACAAGGAAAAAAGCTAAGATAATTCCCAGAGTCAAGTGTTATTTTTTAATCCTAACCCAAGGATATGTTTTTATTATTAAGGATATGTTTGTATTGATTTTAGAGAGAGATGAATGGAGAGAGATAGAAACATCTATCTGCTGCCTCCTGTATGCACCCCAAGTTCCATCCACTTCCCAGGCCCCAAGTGGGGATCAAACCTGCAATAGAGTCCATTTTGATGACCTATGGAACATCCATTTAGCAATGTCCATCAGGCAGTTGGGTATAAGTGTGAAGAACAAGGGTTTTAAAGAGGTCTACGCTGGAATTATGGATTTGGGGATTATAAGCAGACAGCTGGCAGTGTGGAAGCCTTGAACATGAATAACATCACCCAGGGAAGGTAGTCAGTAGACAAAACTAGACTGTGGTCAGAGCCCTGCCTTCGTGACATCCTCCCGCACTCTTGCGAGCATCCCCCCCCGCCCGCCTTTGGCTTGGTATTCCGTCTCTGGAATCCCACAGCCTGATCTCCATGGTCCTAAGGTACGCCTAGGACCCTGCTCTTGGACTGGCCAAGTAACTATGTTCAGGCTCCCTCCTAAGGCATGGTCCTCTGCTACCATCGACGGATAGGATTCTGACTGCCTCCGCCTTTCATTCTTTTAGGTACCAGCTCCCTCCAAACCCATCCATGGGGTCTAGGCACCTGTGTGAACCCACCTTGACACAAAAGCTCATCTTGCTTCCCCCATTATATCTCAAGGGCACTAAGATAGATCCTAATTCCATACCTGCCTGTGAACCCTGATTGGTAGACCCTCCCCTCCCAGTCTAAAGCCTGTACCATATTCTACCACTAGATGGAAGCAGAAGAGCCTCACCCGACCATGGATGCAGAGGAGCACCCTTCTTCAAAGGACCCGCCTGCTGAGGACTCAGAGGAGCCCCCTATCCCTGACGTCCCCTTGGAGCTTGTCATCGCTGAGCCTCCTTTAGAACCCCACACCTCTGAGTCTCAGATACTGTCCTCCACCTCCCAGACTGAGCTAGAGACCCACACCTCTGAAAACCCTCTGGAACCTTCCACCTCTGAGCCTTTAGAGCCCCACACCTCTGAGCCTCAGGTAGTGCCCTCCACTTCCCAGACCCCCTTAGCGACCCACACCTCTGAAAACCCTATGGAGCCTTCCACCTCCAAGGCCTCTGTAGAACACGCTACCTCTAAGGTCCCAGAGGAACCCTCTGCTTTGCAAACCCCCTCACCAGATCAGGCCTCTGATGCTCTGAAGAAAGGCCTGTCCTCTGAGCCAGGAAGACCCGCACAAATCCGTGAATCTGAGATGCTTCCAGAGCACTCCCTTGTAGGCCCTTCAGCCGAGGTCCACCTGGACACAGTTGAAAAGGAAAGGGAAGAGGAAGGAGAGGACAAGGAGGGGGAGGATGCCACTGTCAGCACCACTCACACACCTCAGCCTGGACGTCATGTGGGCAAGAAGAAGGAGAAGAAAGGAGTTAGCCGTAATTGCTCCCGCCCTTTTCCCCATTCTCATCGCTGTCTTTCACCCCCGCCCCAGGAGAAGGAGATTGGGTTTTGGGGCCCCTCACTTCTCCTTGATTACTCACCCCCTTTCTTCCCAGGTGACACGGCCAATCCAGTGATCATTGTTAAGCAGGCAGATCAAGTAGGAGTGCCTAAGACAATGCACAAAGAGAAGTTTGGTGCTCAGGCGGACAATCTTTTCCAGTGGGAGAAGGATGCAACTCTGAAGGCCACCCAGACAGGTGAGCCCAGGCGGCCTCTCAGAGGCTTGTGACAGGCCCAGGATCCTCCTCCAACCTACCCATTTCTGGGAACTTGGCCCATTTGGTGGAGAGCTGCACCTTGTGGGAATGGCAATGCCACCTGCCTGAAATCGGGGAGGGAAGCAGGCAGGTGGGCCAAGGTGGATAGTGTAGTTGCAGATGAAGAGTGAATAATCATATAAAGCCCAGGTGGGGTCAGGGCACTGAACTAAAGTTGTTAAAAACAGAAGGGTCACAGACCAGCCCCACATCTAGGGCTCAGATCACCTGCACCAAACAGATCCTAAGGCAGAGGGCCTGAACAGTCTCCATGTGACCTGTTGCTTTTACATGGCAAAAGGCCTTGGTCCCCTTGTTGGAACTCCATTAAAAGGTAGTCACTCCTGACTATGAGACCCATGATCACTTGAGTACCCAAAAGCTGTGAGTCTCCACCAAACAGCAGGAGTCATATCTAACCCTTTGGGTCCAAGTCTCAGCCCAGAATTAGTACTTTTTAAAATATATATATATATATATATATATATATATATATATATATATATATATATATAATTGATTTTTTTATAGAGAGGAAGAGAGAGTGATAGAGAGTCAGAAACATCGATGAGAGAGAGTCATCGATCAGTCGCCTCTTGCACACCCCCTACTAGGGATGTGCCGGCAACCAAGGTACATGCCCTTGACCCGAATCAAACCTGGGACCCTTCAGTCCACAGGCCGGCGCTCTATCCACTGAGCCAAACCGGTTTCGGCCAGAATTAGTACTTCTGACAGTCCTGTTAGTAGCATGCTGTGCTTATCTATGTCTACATACTAGTATAAAAGGTGTAAACACATGCCATCCTGTGTGTGAGCACGTGTACTGATGCTACTGAGCTTTATATCTATAAGGGTTACCTTTAGTAAGAGGGTCACCCTGACCTGCTATGAGGATTTTGGGGTTTCTGGACTGAATTCAATGTGTCACTGCATTTATTTTGTTTTTTCATACTCTTTTTAAAATATATTTTATTGATTTTTTTATAGAGAGGAAGGGGGAGGGAGAGTTAGAAACATTGATGAGAGAGAAACATCAGTCAGCTGCCTCCTGCACACCCTCTACTGGGGATGTGCCTGCAACCAAGGTACATGCCCTTGACTGGAATCGAATCTGGGACCCTTGAGTCCGAAGCCTAACACTCTATCCACTGAGCCAAATCAGTTAGGGCCATACTTCCTCTTTTTGATGGGAGTAGAGTTATGTCAAAACTAGATGGGCCTAAAATATAAAGACAACTGGGTAATTCTATACCCTATCCTTTTCCCGTGCAACTTACTTTCCTCAGTCCCTATGCAGGGACCTCCCACCTCCACTTCTGGAAAAGGAAGTCATAGTGATCTCAATAGTTTCTCAGTCTTACTTCAGTCATTGAACAGCTTTGTTTGCTTATTTTAACATCCTATGTCACTTTTATTCTTTTTTTGCAAATGTAGGGTCTGTTCAGTACCCTCATTCTCCTTAGAACCTCCTGTCTACTCCCCACTCTTCAAGGCTTCTTGAGATTGGACTCCCTTTTCTTGTTTAAACAGGAATTTTTATACTAAAATTTAAGTGTCATGAAATCCTGAACAAAGTTATTTGGGGTTCTCTTCTGACACTGGGGATCTTCTGTCCCTCGAGAGTCAATATATGTGCTCTGAAGTGAAATATCAAGTGTAAGCTTTTCCCTTATTCATTCAATATTTATTGAGCACCGGCAATGTACGAGGCTCATTGCTAGCTGGGGAGGTGGTGGCACTGATGGAGTTTCCAAGAAAAGATCCCTCAAGTAACTTACACTTTAATGAGAGATACCAATAAGTAAGAGGACAAAAGCAATAATTTAGTTCAGCCCAGAGTGCTACATGAACAGAGAAAAGGGGCAGGCACCAATTACAGGAAGCTTGGGGAGTAAGCCTTGGAAAGGATGACTTCTCAGCTGAAATCTGTAAGATGAGTAACAAGAGGCAGCCAGGTAAAAAGTGAGGTATGCTGGGACATGGCAGCGCCAGGCACCAGCAGGAAACTGTAAGCAATGCAGTATGCCTGCTACATAGAGTGTTGGGCACAGTAGCCTGGTCAGCTCTGGAAGGGCAGGATTGTGCAAGTATTTCTGTACCAAATTCAAGAGCTGGGATTACATCCTGAGGGCAACTAAAGTCACTAAAAGATTGTAAATGGAGCCGAAATCGGTTTGGCTCAGTGGATAGAGCATTGGCCTTCGGACTGAAAGGTCCCGGGTTTGATTCCAGTCAAGGGCTTGTACCTTGGTTGCAGGCACATCCCCAGTAGGGGGTGTGCAAGAGGCAGCTGATAGATGATTCTTTCTCATTGATGTTTCTAACTCTTTATCCCTCTCTCTTCCTCTCTGTAAAAAAATTAATAACGCCGGGATCGGTTTGGCTCAGTGGATAGAGCGTCGGCCTGCAGACTGAAAGGTCCCGGGTTCGATTCCAGTCAAGGGCTTGTACCTTGGTTGCAGGCACATCCCCAGTAGGGGGTGTGCAAGAGGCAGCTGATAGATGATTCTTTCTCATTGATGTTTCTAACTCTTTATCCCTCTCTCTTCCTCTCTGTAAAAAAATTAATAACGCCGGGATCGGTTTGGCTCAGTGGATAGAGCGTCGGCCTGCAGACTGAAAGGTCCCGGGTTCGATTCCGGTCAAGGGCATGTACCTTGGTTGCGGGCACATCCCCAGTAGGGGATGTGCAGGAGGCAGCTGGTCGATGTTTCTCTCATCGACGTTTCTAACTCTGTCCCTCTCAATTCCTCTCTGTGTAAAATCAATAAAATATATTTTAAAAAAAATTAATAAAATATATTTAAAAAATAGCCGAAACCGGTTTGGCTCAGTGGTAGAGCGTCGGTCTGCGGACTGAAAGGTCCTGGGTTCAATTCCAGTCAAGGGCATGTACATTGGTTGCGGGCACATGCCCAGTATGGGGTGTGCAAGAGGCAGCTGGTCAATGTTTCTCTCTCATCAATGTTTCTAGCTTTCTATCTCTCTCCCTTCCTCCTCTCTGTAAAATATCAATAAAATATATTAATATATAGATATTTTAAAAATAAGTAAAAAAAAATATATTATAAATGGAACAATAACGAACAGATTTGTGTTTTTGTAAGATCACTCTGGCAAAAGGATAGACTAGAGAACGGTAAAAGCTGGAGAACGGATTGTGGGGCCACTGCTAATAATCCAAATAAGAAATGAATGGGTAGAAGTAAAAAGTAGACAAACTCAAGAAATACTAAGAAGGTAAAACGAGCCTCTGGATCATTGGATGTGTAGGATAAGAGAAAGGAACATGCCTGGAATGGCGTCTAGGTAACTGGCTTAAATAACTGATTGGGTAATGGTGTCATTAACTGAATGCCTAAGACAAGAGTAGATGCTTGCTAAGTACGTGATGGATGAACAGAAGACAAAGGGCGAGGGCCATGTCTGGAAGGAATAATTATAACACATTTGAAGTGCTTGTGGAACATGCTGGTGAAAGGGTCTAGTAGATGGCTGGCTATATGGATCTGAAGCTCGGGAGAAAGATCTGGGCTGAAGACACCTTTCATTTAAAAACAGCTGTATTGTCAAAACCGGTTTGGCTCAGTGGATAAAGCATCAGCCTGCGGACTGAAGGGTCCTAGGTTAGATTCCAGTCAAGGGCATGTATCTTGGTTGCGGGCATATCCCGGTAAGGGGTATGCAAGAGGCAGCTGATCAATGACTCTCTCTCTCATCGATGTTTCTAACTCACTATCTCTCTCCCTTCTGTAAAAAATCAATAAAATATATTTTTAAAAATAAAAACACTTGTATCTTGTATGAAGATGTTCTAAGCACCAAGAGATATTATCAGGCAAATGTGATTATGTGATCATGGAATTGGCTGTGTTGTACAGAATCAAAATGACATCTCAGATCATGTTTCCTCACCCTGCCACTCCCTGTCCACTCATAACAGAAAGAGGATTTGGAATCAGGGCAGAGAGTAGAGGGCACCATTCTTGAATACTCAGCTAGATGTCAATGGTCCCACTTAAAGAGCACTGACACTTGTAAATAGAGTCTGAGGTGTGGTTTGCCAGTCTCCCTGTTCAAACTTCAATCTTCATCTGTAAGCTGGACACCGACTCCTACATCGGTGCTTGGACTTGACTCTCCCAGGCTCTCAGGCCAGGCCTTGATCTCTGGGCACTGACCCCCTGTTCATTTCCACATCTCACCTGCTCATTCAGTGTATCCTGCTGCTTGGGATGACATTCAGAATTCCTCTAGTAGAATCCTGGCCCCTACCCACCTCCATTGTGACTCTATCTATACTCTGCCCTTTCAACCAAGACTCCCTGGAGTATTGGGGAACTGGCACTCCAGGCCATCAACATCAAGGCAGAAGCAGCGGAGCCAAAAGTTACATCTGGACAGGCTTTTGACCTTGGGAGATCACGGGTAATACAAAGAAAACCTAGTCTGACCGTTAGGCACAGAATTGTGGATTATGGCCCTGGCCAGAGTCAAAGACCAGAAGACACTAATTCTTTCTCGTCCTCCTTATAGTACCTCCTTATAGGTTCTTCCTGGCATACTGAAGAAATTATCTCTCCTCCTGAAGGAATTTGTTCACTCATTTATTTAGTCAAACAATCTGTGTTCTCCAAGCACCTATTTTGTGTCATGCCCTGCGCTAGGACTAGAATATAGATGAAAAGACAGACCCTTCCTTGGAGGAACGCACAGTCTAACAGTGAACAGATCATTACAATGCATTGTACTGTGGTAAGAGTAGCACAGGGAGCCATGGAAGGCAAGAGAAGGGTTGCTAGAAAAGGGGAAGTTAGGGATACCTTTTGGTGGAGGTGACACTTCATTACCAGCCTTTACGTCGGAATAAGAGTCCTACAGCTGAAGGACTCCCTGGGGACTCATACAGGATTCTGGCTAGAAGCTGGGGTGCTCTCAGGTCTTGATGAGAAAATCTGAGTGGGAGGTGCTCTCTGCTTCTCCTTCCACATTTACCACCACCCTTGTCTTGCAGTGAGATTGAGAGTGAACCCAGACATTTCCAGATCCCACAACTAAAACCAAAGGGTTGGGGCATCTTCCTGGTGTCCGAGCTCCGGGATACTTCTTAGCCTCTCTTTCCTCTCCATGCCTCCTCCATTCAGCCTCAAAAGCTCCTATTTTTTGGTCTTCATTTCCGGCCTCCCTCTTTCTTCTGAAGCCATCCTTCTGACCCCAGGCCTGCTCAACCTCTTCTCTTCTTCATGTCCCTTCAACAACATAGCCCCTCCTTAGTAACCAATTCCTCCCCCCATCTGCTCTACACCTGCTCAATTATCTTCTCTCTCCCTCACCTTAGATATGTCAAGGAAGCCAAAGTTGGGCTCTACTAGAGGGAGAGGAGGAGATGAGAACCCCAACAGTTCCAGAGAACTCATTGAGAGTCAGATTCATCTTCAAAAAAAAAAAATTCATTTATATTCTTCCTGACTGGCTGACAGAGATGGAGTGGATCCTGGGATGGGAAGGGCACTGAAACATTTATGGGTGATAAGAAAACCTTGAGGAGGAAAAAATCTAAATGGGTCTGTATGAGGACTCATAGGGAGGGATAAATACACCTGGGGGACTGTAGGCCATTTTTCCTTCTTACTCATCCTATTACTCAATCCCACCATTCCCAGGTCTCTACATCGGTTGGCGTTGCCCCCACTATCTATGGGACTGCTTCCAAATTGGGGATGAATCCAAGTGCTTTTGTGGACACTTGCTGAGAGAGCACCGGATCGTATCAGGTAGGGAGAACTGAGTTACCCCTCCCAGCCCTTGCAGGTGAGGAGGGGTAACTGTACTGCCATGTGTTGGAATAGATGAGAGAAAGTGTGTGTGTTGGTATGGGAGAGGGCGTGGGCGTGGAAAGGCCAGGCCAAACAGGTGCTGGTCTAACCCTACCATCCATCCCCATTCCCGTAGACATATCCGTGCCTTGCAAGGTGAGTCAGTGCCGATGCCTTATGTTCTGCTTTATACCATCACGCCCAGAGGAGGTGGGTGAGTTCTGGCTCCAGAGGCGGGCCACCTTTGATCCCAAGACATGGAGAGCCCAATGCCGCTGCAAACACAGCCATGAAAACCATTCAGCTACCGGGTGCCATCCCTGCAGGGTCAAAGGTACCTTCTAAAACAAAGGGAGTGCAGAGGTGGGCATGGGTGGGGAGAGGATGCGTATAGTTTGGGAATAAGTATATGGGAATTGGTAGGAGAGACAGGTTAATGGTTGGTGAGAAAGAGATGGAAATGTAGTCAGCCCAGGGGAAGCCCCATCTCCCTGTACTTTTCTTGGTTGTCCCTTTGCCCTAGGCTGCTGCTGCGACTGCTTTGAGTCTAATTTCCTCTGCGCAGCCTGTGACCGGCGTTGGGAGGACCACGGGACTTTCTTTGAGACTGAGGAGACCCGGCGACGAGGAGGGAGGCCTCGTGGTGAGGGGGTTACCCGGAACAGGGGTCCATTCCAGAGTCTGTAGTCAGAAAGCCAGGCAGAAAGGGACTCCCATCTTCAACCATCCCACCCAAGACTACCTCGCCCTGCTTACCCCTGCGTCCCATACCTGCATTGGTTTCCACCCCCAGGAGCAGACTATGTGCCTTTTGCAGAGAGTCCTACCCTCTGAGAAACCATCACCAGCAACTCTGACTTCGAGGTCCTATAGAGGCAGGGTCCCTCTGGCCAACCCAGTTCCCACCCTAGTCCCCCTGGGCTCCCTGTCTCACCCAGCCTCCAACCTGGCCCTACAGCTCACCCCTGTACCTGACCCTTTCACCTCTGCTCTTCCCTCCTCCAGGGACAGACACTGCCAACAGCGGGCACAGGCCTGGGTGAGCCTGGCCCAAAACAGCAATAAAGGAGAAGCCACTGGACTCCGACCTGGCTCTGTCTGGGGCAGCTAGAGCCCCGCCCAGAGATAGATATTCAGAGTCAGTCACCTACTGGGGGCAAAAGAGAGGCTAGATCCAGCCATCTGCCTTCACCGCACCCACATTTAGCCTGCTAGCCCTGGCATCAGAAGGAGAGAGAGGCTTCAAAGAAGCGGAGGAGGGAGGGGGTTTTAAGAAGGATGGAGTAAGCAGTGATGTTAGATGCAGCTCTGATCTCCAGTAAGATAAAGACTAAAAAATGTCCATTGGCTTTTGCAATGAGAAGGTCTTTGGGGATGTCAGAGAGCATAATGTCAGTGGTGCAGTGGAGGCAGAAGGAGTTGAAGAAACTTGAATGACAAGAGCAAGAGACAAGTCAAACAATATCCAGAGGGAGAGATGTGGAGTTTAGGAGGCATTTTTTAAGGAGAAAGAAAAGAGGCTAGTAGATTAAAAAAAAAAAAAAAAAAAAGACCTTGAAGGATGCAGAAGAGAGAGATGCCTGGTGAGACAGGGGCCCAGAGATGGAGGGGTAAGGTCAGGGCAGAAGTGAAGGGATTCACTTTGGACAGGAGAAACACCAATTCCTAAGACCAAAAGGAAGGAAGGAAGGAAGGAAGGAAGGAAGGGAGGGAGGGAGGGAGGGAGGGAGGGAGGGAGGGAGGGAGGGAGGGAGGGAGGGAGGGAGGAAGGAAGGATAAGGCCTTCACTGAGCTGCAGGGAGCAGGATTTGTGAATGTTCTCCTGTGGAATAGGAGACAAAGTCAGTTTCGGGGGGCGAGGGGGAGGGATAAGAGTGGAGGATAGGAGACAGGAAGAGAGAGGTAAAGGTTTGGGAAGGCTAATGTGAGGAGTTGGAGAAAAACCTGATCAGTGGCTGGTTAAGGGTTAAGGTACAATTGGAGGCAGGAACATGGTTAGAAAAGCAGAGATGCAAAATATTTAGATGAATGGGTTGTGATGAGGATGTCGGGAGGATACTCAGAATAATTAGGAACATGGGCAAAAGGAGGATTAAAAATGTGGAGGGAGCTGACCATACAAATAGGGAAAGGGAAACCAGAAAGCCTTTGACAGATTTTTAAAAAGGAATAATCAAAGGCATAAAAGACATCATGATGACCGTTCACTAAAACTAATTAGCAGATGCAGCAGCAGATGCAGTGGCGGAGATCAGAGTGCAGGAAATAGTGGTCAGAGCCTGCAGAGTGGTGCCACTTTCAGATAAGAGCAGCTGCAGGTGATCACAAGGCTTGAGTTAGAGAAAACTGTAGGCCAGGGGCCCAAACCAGTGCATGTCAAGGAGTGTGACTAGAACGCCCATAGAATTTTGGCACAGATGACTCTTATGGGGAGTAGGAGATTCTGATAATCATGGACTCTGTGGTCCTAGACACATCACTTTCCCCATCTGGGCCTCAGTTTTTGGATCTGTAAAACAGGAATAATCTCTGTGCTACCTGCTATGAGAGTCCAAAGAAATAACCAGTTTCCAAGTACCTTGTACTCGCCTACCCCTCCTGGCCAATTTCCTTCCTCTTCTCAGATCCCAGTTCCTCTCTCTTGCCCTTCTCCAGAGCAGCGTTAGGGTCTGCTGCTATCCCAGAGGCATGTCAACAATAAATAGGTTGCTGCCACCAATTCAAAGCCATAAGGAGTTCCGAATCTGGGGTGCAAAAAAAGGAGAAACTTTATTCAGGTAAACAGTTTGTAAACGAGGGAGCTGCAGTCTGTGACAGAAACAGGGTACAATAGTGCCAAAACAAAGAGGAGGCTGGATTTTATAAAGGTCCTTCCTGCCCCATCTCTGTTTGGTCTATTTCCATGCAAATGAGAAATCCAAATTTGCATGGTCTCACTGGTCCAAATAGCATGGTCCTGATTGGTCAGAAGCACTCATTCTGATAGGTCATTATAAAGTGGCTCAAATTGGTCAGTAAATATGCAAATAAGGATAGAGCTGTGCAGTTCCAATTGGATAAGGTAGGTCTCTGTGTATTGGTTGAAAGATGATTATAGGAACTCCTTTATAAGGGTGGGCTCAGCTGGCAGGTACACAGTGCAGGAGGCTGGCAGTTCCATCTGTGGGTTTTCCCTGAAATGTAGAATGGGTATGAGGTACCTCTGAGCAATGGCTCCTGGACTCTGATTAAGAATTTGAGCCCAATTAATCATAAGGAGTCCTTCTGGCAGATAAATTCCTTCTTGGGGTCAACTGTATCCTCTAAGGCACTGAGAAAAGGCCTTCCCCCTTGGACTGCTAGAACTCGGGGGAAATCACAGGATCAAATGTCTGCACTTTGGAAGAGAAAGGACTTTCTAACGATAATGACATGGCTATACAAATTGTTACTATCTCCAGAAGTAAAGAGTTCCTCATTAATGCTAATGATGACCATTCACTAAAACTAATTAATAGTCAAAAATAAAGGAATGGTTACTATGGTAAACACATTCAACCCAAGTATTATGCAGCCCTAACAAGATATATTTACATAAACTATGTAATAATATGAAAAATTATAAGTGGGAGAATAAAATAGGCAATACATGTGTATTTTACAATAAAAGGAACTTAGAGGAAACATCAAATGTTATTCATTCTACAAATTATGTGTCAGGCTATGTGCTAAAACATACCTTCACACAAACTAAAAATACAGTGGTGACTTTTATCCTATGCGTTAAACATCAGACTAAAACTTACCTGGTATTAGTATATTCGCATTTTATGATCCCCATGTTTCTTATGTCAAAAGTATATATTCCAGCAGAAGGAAATGTATTATACTTCAGACCTAGCCATGACACATTTCCCTTGTTGTCCTAATTCTACTCTCTAAAAATACCAGGCACAGAGCTAACCCTATCACCCACCTTTTCTAATTAGGAAAGAACCTTTGCTTGTTAGTCCTGGGTTCAAAATAGGAAAATAGGACACACACACACACACACACACACACACACAGCTCCTCCCGTTAAATAGAAAAGTTGCAGAAACCATCCTTAAAACTTCAAATCTCTCATCTTGGGAGTAAATATGCTAACGAGAACATTCAGGAAGAACTGAGATCAGCGATTTTCAACCGGCGTGCCACAATAATTTTTTAAACCGTGCAATACCTGACCATTTAGCCAGGGGCACTGACCTCTCTTCCCGTTGTCAAGTTAAAAAAAAAAAAAAATGACAACTGCCAGCCTAACAATAGCTGTCCCGTGTGACTGCGTCAAAATTATACCTGCTCTTTTTGGTCAGGTCCCTAAAAACTGTACTTTTGGTGTGCCGCAGAATTTTGGCAACTGGTTTAAGTGTGCCATGAGATGGAGAGGGTTGGAAATCGCTGGCATACCACCTTGCAGGCTTGGTGGGCGGGAAGCAGGCTCAGCCCTCCCCCTCCTCCCAGCTCAGCAGCGGAGCCCGGACCCGCTTTTTCCTCCCAATGGAGAGAGAAACTAGTTAGGAGAGCCCATGGAAAAGGGACGTGCACGCCGAGAGAAGACGAAGCCAACGGAGTGAAAAAACAGTGAGTTGCAAAGGCGCCGACGGGAGGAAGATCCCGCCACGCCTCTGCGCTAAGTTCAGGGGCGACGTGCAGGGGCGGGAGCGCCACCCAATGGGAGGGCAGGACTCGCTCCTCGGAGCCAGCGGAACCAATCGCCGCCGCCGCTCGCTCCCAGGCGCCCCGCCCCCGGCGGCCGGCCGGCCCGAGGGCAGCCCTGAGTGACAGGTTCCCGAGGGCGAGGGCAAGATGGCGGCGGCCGTGCTGCTGGCCGCCGGGCTGCGCGCGGCGCGCAGGGTGGTCGCGGTCGCGGGGCCGCCGCGGGGGCCGCAGGTGAGAAGTGGCTGCGGGGACCAGGAGGGGCCCCTGCGCGCCTGACGGCCCCCGGGGCCGGGCACCGCGTTCCTCCCGGCTCCCCAGACACGCACAGCCCAGCGGCCTCGCGGGGACGTTAACGCGACGTGCAAGTCCCATGGCTGTGCGGTGAGATCGGGCCGGTAGTCGCAGCATCCCCCGCGGAATCTCGATGCAGGAGAAGCCAGTGATCCACACCCGCATAGCCCCCCTGCACAGTCCCCGGGCCCGAGGCTGGGGCAGGGTCCGTGCAGTGGCTGCTGCCTTTCTCCTAAACCCGCCTGAAGCCCAGCTTCCCCCACCCCCACCCCCCCTGACAGCCCCCTCGTGCCCCCTACAGGAGGGGAGCTTTGGCGTCTCCTGCAGTCTGTCTGCTGCGCCTCAGCCTCCTGGCCTTCTGCTGAGGACCAGTGTTTTGCCCCGCTTTGCCTGAGAGTGCGACTGGATGGGGTCAGATTCACCCAGTCCTTTTCTCCCCCACTGTGACAGCACCGACTTCAGAAGCCTTCCTGAGTTCCTGGGAAACGGGGACTTGCCTCCGCTCGATCCCCTGGAGCCGGGTTCACTTATCTGAACTCGCTGATTCAGGGCCTGGAGTTCTAATTCACTGTCAGAGGTCAACTGTGACTGACACCTTAGATGCCCTTGTGTCAAAAGGCAAAAAATGTATTAAAGTCTGAATAAAACAGGCAACATGGCTTAAAGATCAGACAATAAGTAATGGAAATACGTGGCAACATTAACAAGGTGAGAGTATATGGGAAAGAATCCCAAGTAGGGTTAAAAGATGGTATAAACAGCTCCCTTTGTTTTACATGTGAAGCCAAGAGAAGGGATTTGTCTAAGGTAAATCACTGGTAAATAAGAACTGGGAACCAAGTCTCCTGGTTTTCATTCTGGATCTTTCCCCCCCGAACAGTGCTAAATTTCCTAGGCATTTTAGACGCAGAAATCACTGGGCTGAGTCCTGCATTCTGGTACTTCCTGTTATCCCACCAGGCCCAGCACTCTCTGGCCCTACTCTGCTTCTGAGGGTCTGCAACTGAAGAGCTGTTCCTTGGTGCGGGAGCCACTAATAGGTTCTCAGAAAGGTGAAGTTAATGACCGTCAGAGCCCAGCTTCTGTGGCCCCCAACTCTCTGCCTCGGTTTTGACCCACCTTTAGGTCCGAGGAGCAGCAGGTGTGAATGATGGAAATGAAGTGGCCAAGGCCCAGCAGGCAGCTCCTAGGGGGAAAGCCCCAACCATCTTCTCTAGGATCCTGGATCGAAGCGTTCCAGCTGACATTCTGTATGAGGACCAGCAGGTGGGGTGCCCCTAAGACCCATCCCATAGGGATCTCATAGATACCACCCAGCCTGTGGAAGTAACACGGTGCCCTCTGGCCTGTCGCTGCTCCCAGTGTCTCGTGTTCCGTGACGTGGCTCCTCAGGCTCCTGTGCACTTCCTGGTCATTCCCAAGAAGCCCATTCCTCGGATTAGCCAGGCTGAAGAAGAGGACCAGCAGGTGGGGAGAACAGGACAAGGGTTTGGTTGGAGGAAGCCCCGGATTCAGCTAGAGGTTTTGCTTCTTGTAAATAAAGCCGCCTGTCTCCCTCCCCTTCCCCTGTAGCTTCTAGGACACCTTCTCCTTGTGGCCAAGAAGACAGCAAAGGCTGAGGGGCTGGGAGATGGATACCGACTTGGTGAGTGGCGTGGCCGTTGAGCCCCTTCACTGGTGAATTCTCATACCTACTCAATACGATCTTCATGCTTTGGTCTTTCCCATGATCCTGACTCACTAACCCCACGCTCCCTTTCAGTGATCAATGATGGGAAGCTGGGAGCACAAACTGTGTATCACCTGCACATTCACGTACTCGGGGGCCGACAGCTCCAGTGGCCTCCAGGTTGAACCTACCAACTGACCAAGGACCCTGTGCCTGGATGATTGGATGGGGCAGGAGGAAAGGGACCCTGTGATCCAATAAACTTGCTCTCCCTCAATTTTGCATCTCTGTCTTAAATATATACATTTTGCCACAAAGAGGAAGGAAATGGTTATGATCCTCCTTGACTATGGTCTGAGTAAGAGACACTAAGGAAGTCCTTCTGGAAAGAAGCATTTGCCTATAGGTCTGTGAGTCATGACTAGTGGTCCACCTGAGTCAAGCTTCCAGACAAGTAGCAGTAGCAATAAGCCTGAACGAATAAGAAGAGACTAAGCCTAGATGGCGTAGCTCAGTGGTTGAGCGAAAATCTATGAACCAGAGGGTCATGGTTCAATTCCCCTCCAGGGCACATGCCTGGGTTGCAGGCTTGATCCCCTGTAGGGGCGTGCAGGAGGCAGCTGATCAGTGATTCTCTGTCATCATTTCATGCTCCCTCCCCCTCCCTGAAATCAATTTTCTTTCTTTCTTTTTTTTTTTTTTTTTTTTTTTTTTTTAAGAAACTGGCTCTCTCCTGGTCTATATCCAGCTGCCAATCCAAGTTATAAGAGGATCTGGGAGGAGGGTGGTCAGTGGGAGGGACTTTGATTGGGGCGCGGGGGAAGGGAAGTAACCACACCCCCCAAAAAGCTGTTACCCTTTGACTAATCCCTGAGTCTCACCATCCAGCCTTTAAGCTGTTGTCTGGTGTATTTTCATCCTTAAATGTTTGAAAAGGCTGCCCCCACTTTTGAGAATGAGCTACGGAAAAGCTGCTGTTATCCCCTACATAGCAGCCCTGTGCCAGTCTCTTAACACAACCACCATAGAAAGCTTCAAAAAAGAATTATACTTCGGTCAGGAGGGAGAGGCCTTAGGTCAGCGGAACCTTAAAAGCCGGGGATGAGACGGAACGAAGTCCAGACGGAAAGAGAGCTTCCGCCCCGTATCAGATTGAGGACTTCCGCCCCGCAGGAAACTTGCCTCCACCCGCCACTTCCGCCCAGCTATAGTTCCGCGCAGTCTCCTGGAATTATTTGCCATCTCTATGGCAACCCGGGTAGCTGATGTCGGAAGATGAAGACCTTTGATTCTACCGAGGGGTCGGGGTCGGGATCGGGATCGGGATCGGGATCGTTGTCACGGTGAGAGCCGCAGCTCTGGCTGCCGGTTTTAGGGGACGAGGAGAGGCAGCGCACTTCCTCCCTCTGCCGAGCTTTTGACAATTTTGGCGCTTTGGTTTCTTTCAGATCTTTACCCGTACAACCCAGCTCCGAAGCGTCCTCTTTGGAAGTCTCTTCTAGGTCGGCCCTGGCAGCCGCAAGGGCAGCAGCGTCAGCCGCTGCTGCAGCCACTGCAGCCGTCTCCACTGCCAAAGCAGCTATATTGTCTGCAAAGACCAAAGCTCCCTATTCTGAGCAAAGCTTTCCCTCGGATCCCTCCTCTGATAGTCTTGTGAACCCCTGCTCAGGACACAGTTTTACCCACAAGACAGCCCATAGGAGACTTGGCTTTAAGCCTGTTTCCTATATTGTTCGGCATCCTTGTCCTACAAATTACCCTAACACTAGCACCGTTCCTGGCTCTAGCCCTGACCCGGTTCCTGGCTCCAGATCTGGCCACTTTCCTGGCTCCAGATTGAGCCCCATTCCTGGCTCTACCCCTGAACCCATTCCTGGCTCCAGATCTGGCCACTTCCCTGGCTCCAGATCAGGCCCCGTTCCTGGCTCCAGATCGAGCCCTGTTCCTGGCTCCAGATCGGGCCCCATTTCTGGCTCCCGATCTGGCCATAGCCCTGATCCTGGCCATGGTTATGGTTCTAGTAAAGCCACTGGCCTGGGTTCTCACTCTGGTTATGTCTATGCCTCTGGGCCTGCTCCAGACAATGATCCTGAGCTCAGCCCCAGCACTCTTACAAGCTTCAGAGATCCTGGGGCAAACCTGGTCCCTAATCATGCCTCCTGGAATCACTACCAATGCTGGGAGCCTCGGAAACAACCCTGGAAATTTTTGCCAGTTTCAGAACCTGTTGCCCAAAGGCGGCTATGGAAGGCCCCCGAGGCTGAAGTGAAGTGTGAGCCTCTCAGTAAAACACTGCCACGGGGCCACTGCCTTCTCTACAACTGGGAGGAAGAGGTATTAAGGTTTTGACCTACCCCCTTTTCTTAAAGGCTGCCCCCAGTTTTCTGAGGGAAGATAATAGTGTATGATGAGAGTGGGTAACAGAAAGGATATCATAATCACTCGCTTGGGGCCCACAGAGAGCTACCAATCATCTGGATCAAGTCCCAAGCATGCAGGATGGCTCCGAGAGTTTCTATTTCCGACATGGACACCAGGGACTGATAACCCTGCAGCTCCAGTCACCCGTACCCCTCAGCACCACCCAGAAAGACTCATTTCAGCCCCCAAGAATCCGCTGTCAGCCAATTCGAGGTGTGAAGCATGAGGGAACGGGTCAGAATGAGTCCACTAGTCAGAGAACAAAAGAGAGAAAGGAATTTCTGGTGGGACTATAGATTGTCCAATGGGTATTCGGGTAACCCCCCACAATTTTCCTTCCTTTTCTCAACTTTGTTTATTCTGGGCCTGCTTTCCTAACCAGACTTGTCAGCTCTGTCCACTCCCTGCCCCCCCCCTCCCCCACAGGAAAACGTGAAGCCATGCTGGAGATATTCCTGTGCCACCAGATCTGGTGAGAGGCTGGATGATGGGGGAAGGGAAGGGGGAGGACAAAAACCAGGGAAGAACGGCTTTTATGCCCCCATAACTGTATAGTAAAGAGGTGCAGGCAGAGCAAGAACTGACAAGGGAGCCATTTGAGGCTGAGTCTGTGACACACCATGACTACAAAACGGAGCTGGTGCAGGCAGGGGATCCTGCTCCAACTAAGGTAAGAGCCCATTCCACCCCACATGTACAGCTGAGCCTTGGGGGGCTGGAGGGGGAGCAGCAGACCCAGAGGTTTGGAAAGGGAGCTTCAGGCCAAGAGTTATTCCGTATTTTTCCCTCACAGCCTCACGACTACTGTACGGAACAACCTGAAACTTTCTGGATACAGAGGGCACCACAGCTGCCGGTGTGCGAGGGTGACTAGGTGTTGGGGGTGGGGAAGAAGGAAGGGAAGAGGCTGTTCTGTTCTGCCTTGGCAGAGAGTAGGATCTGTCCTCATTCTGGCATTCCTGTAGGGTGTCAGTAACATCAGGACCCTGGACACGCCATTCCGGAAGAACTGCAGCTTCTCAACACCAGTGCCTTTGTCCCTGGAAGAGCCTTTTCCCGATGGACCTGAGAATTATTCCCACCAATTAGGACAAATCTCTTCTCTTGGCTGTCAGGGAAGAGGACAGGGTGGGGAGGGGCGTAGATGTATCTAAGGGTTGAGGAGGGAAGTGAGATGTGGAATATGGAATCTATTTCTGTCTGTGCCGGAAAGGTGGGAGGAAGTGAATTCTGTTTATACTTGGTGAAGGGGCTTTACATAAAGGGTTCTTTCTCATCCTGAGTCAGGGATTCCCTGAGTTTCCATCTTCATACCCCATATGACATTTCCTTGGAGCTGCCCTTAACCCAGACTATTACATCATTATTTGTTTGTTTGTTTTATATTTGACCAAAATATTCTGGTTTAGATACAGATATTTACAGAAGGCAGGGAAGAAGGGGACCAGGCCAGAGAGGGGCAGGTATATGTACAAGGCTTGAGCTTCAAAGATCAAGAACTTCCATGTAAGAGAGGATTTTTGCGCGCGCTGGTTTCCATCCCATATGACGGTGTCCAGGTCTGGTGTGTGGAGAGATGATAGCCACTGCCTACCCGGGTGCCAGTAGCAGGAGACTGACTTGAAAAGAACGGGGGTTTACAGAAGTCCAGCGGGTCCTTTCCGCTCTCCTAGGAGCCAGTACGTTCGCATCTTTCCTTTTCCCTGGGAGTAGGGGAGTGGATATAGTTCAGATTCTTCTGTGTTATTCCTTTATCTCCCTCTCTCCCCCCCATGACCCCCACAGTGACTTTCATCCTCCCTTCCCAACTCCCCCAACCCCCCGGCCTGCCATCACCTTCATCTCCACATCCCCCCGCAGCTGTAGCTGGAAGCATCCTAGCTCATCCAGGGCATCCTTGGTGGTAGAGGAGACATGGATCTTCAGCGCTGGGGCGGGACGGGGGATGGTGGGAAGAAGAAGAAAAGAAAAGGAGGCAACAGAAGAATTGGTGGTGTCCGAGGAGACTTTACCCAACCACCACCCCGCAGCAGGTTCTCGGTCTCCCCAGTGCCCATGCACCAGAACCTAAATATGTCCAAGGATGGGGCAGTCGGGAACTGTGGTCTCAGACTGAGATATTTGGAGGAACTCTGAAAAGAAGAAAATGGGGGGGAAAAGGGGGGCGGGGGGGAGGCCACAGATTGAGACCGAAGCTGAGATTGAGGGCTAATGTCTCACCTTGACCGTTCGACTCCATTCGGGAAGCAGTGTTCACCGTGTCTCCAAAAAGACAATAGCGGGGCATCTTCAGGCCAACGACCCCAGCACAGACGGGCCCTGAGAGAAGGAACAGGTTGGGAGAGGCTGGGAAGGGTGGACACTGGGGCCGGAGTGAGAGTTCACCTCACCTGTGTGGACCCCTATGCGTAGCCTCAGCTGGTCATGGGGTCGGTGGCGAATGCGGAAGGAAGAAACAGCTTCCAGTAATGCCAGGGCCATACGAGCAATCTCTGGGGCATGGCGTTGACCATTTCGGCCCGGGAGACCAGACACCACCATGTAGGCATCTCCAATCGTCTCTACCTGATTGAGAGGGGGATTAAAATGTCACTTGTCTCTGTCTCAGTTCCCAGGGAAGAGTAAAAGGAGACAAGCTGAACACCACTTGTCTCCTGACAGCATTTGGGAGGTCAGAACATTGACTAGAAAAACAAGTGTATGATCCCGAGAATAGAGGGGCAAGAGGATGGGGGTGGGGAAGAGGGGGGAGAGGGTTTTACAACATTGTGCCAACTCAGTGATTTCAACAAAAGGCTTTTACAACGTAACTGGTCCCTCACCCCAAGGTGGGAGTCAAGGGAATCTTTAAATCTTCCTTCTCCACCCCAGTACCCGTGAATACTCAGTAAATGTTTGCTAAATTAATGGATACCCTGTTTGCAACAGGACATGGGCAAATAGGCTCTGCTGTCAGGAAACGGGAAGCAAGAAAATAGGACAGAGGCTGGAGGAGGTCAAGCAGGCCCAATGAAATGGGCCTCAGACAGTCTAAACCAGCGATTCTCAACTTTCTAATGCCGCCACCCACAGGTTGAGAACCGCCAGCAGGGTCACCTAAGACCATCGGAAAACACAGATATTTACATTATGATTCATTAACAGTAGCAAAATTACAGTTATGAAGTAACAACAAAAATAATTTTATGGTTCGGGGTCGCCACAACATGAGGAACTGTATTAAAGGGTCGCGGCATGCCGAAACCGGTTTGGCTCAGTGGGTGGAGCGTTGGTCTGCGGACTGAAGGGTCCCAGGTTCGATTCAGGTTAAGGGCATGTACATTGGTTGCAGGGACATCCCCGGCAGAAGGTGTGCAAGAGGCAGCTGGTCGATGTTTCTCTCTCATCGACGTTTCTAGCTCTCTATCCCTCTTCTTTCCTCTCTGTGGAAAATCAATAAAATATATTTTTTAAAATAAATTTTAAAAAAATAAAGGGTCGCGGCACTAGGAAGGTTGAGAACCATTGGTAAACTGTCAAAGGTAAGAATGCAGGTGCTTGGTTTTGTCCATTGTACTGAAGCTGTGTAAGAGAATGTCCCTGTCTTTAGGAACTACACACTGAACTGTTTAGGATAAAGGAGAACTGTGTCTGAAACTTGCTCTTAAATGCTTCAGAAAATAATTACATAGGTTTTTAAGATTAAAAAAAAGGGGGGGGGAATATAAGAAATTGGTGAATCAGCCCTTGCTGGTTTGACTCAGTAGATATCAGTAGGTGTCAGCTTGCGGACTGAAGGGCCTCGGGTTCAATTCCGGTCAAGGGCACATGCCAGGTTTGCAGGCTTGATCCCCAGTAGGGGGCCTGTAGGAGGCAGCCAATCAATGATTCTCTCATCTTTGATGTTTCTATCTCTCCCTCTCCTTTCCTCTCTGAAATCAATAAAATATATATTTTAAAAACCAGTGAATCTTATAAAGGGTTATGGGAAGTCTTTATTACAATTATAACAGAGATGGTAGAGTAAATCCAAAGGGACAGGATATTTATTAGCAATACGCAATGTTAAGCACTTTCCACAAGAAATCTATTCCCATATTACAAGTAAGACATCTGAGGCACGGGGAGCTTCTGTTACTTGCCCAAGGCCACACAATTAGCCACAAAGCCAATGTGCAAATCCAAATGAGTTTTACTCCCAAGCTCAATAAAGCACATTGTGCCAACTCAACGACTTCAACAAAAGGCTTGTACAACAGAGCTTGTCCCTCACCCCCATTAATCATTCTGCACCCACATCCTATATGATTCTTCCATGTCCGGAGGGGATGGAGAGAAGAGAAAAGATGGATAAGCTGAATTCATACCCTCAGGAAAATGTAGCAGATAGGGGCTGAATCTTGTGATGGTTCTGATTAGAGGAGCCTAACGATTCACAAGAAATTAGACTGGAAGGTACCGTGAGAGTGCCAGAGCCTCATTGGTCTACAAAGGGCATTTTGGCACTAGAGTACTGGAGACTCAGGAGGGAAAATGACCACGGAAAAGGTAAAGTATATAGGGTTCAGGGAGACTGGGTTTTAAAGGGTCTAAGTAAAAGGGTGCCTCAAGCTCTCACCTTGTAGACATCAAAGTTGTCGATTATGGCATCAAAGCAGGTATACAGGTCGTTAAGAAGTGTCACCACCTAATGAATGGATGGGAAAGTTGAAGCCTGGAGTCTTGTGCCTAACTTTCTAAGAATTCTTAACCCAAGAGCCACCTGGGAACTCTGGGACAAACCAATCTTTCCTGTTATCAAGGGCCCCTTATGCCCCAGTGAAGCTCCCCCAGGTGGCTATCCCACCCCCTAATCTCACCCATGGCTCTTACCTGCATCGGGGTGCTCTCTGCTGACAAAGCTGTGAAGCCAACGATGTCGCTGAAGTAGATGGTAACACTGTCAAAGGCCTCAGCCTGTACAGTCTCTCCCCGTTTTAACTGCTCTGCCACTGAACTAGAAGGCAAGGGTGCCGTCTGAGCCAAGCTCAGAAAGAAGATGAGACAGAGAGAAAGGAAAGGAGTGTATGGATGGATCGGAAATGAGCTCTAACATGAAAGCTGAGTCTGGTGAAGAAAAGGAAGGTGGCTGGGAAGACAGCACAGTCTGGCGCGAGCAAGGTAAGCTGTCAAGGTGATGGGGGAGAGGAATGGCTCTCTGGGGATGGCGGCTACATGTCTCAAGTTGGGGTTGTTCTACATACACTTGCTGGAGCAAAGGCCTGGCAGACCAATGTCCTAAGAAGAAGGCAGCACAGCTCATTTGGAGACAGGATGGAAACAGTCTCCAGCCTGAAAGACTGTGGCCAGATGTAACAAAGCAGTTGGGAGGTGAATTCTCAGGAGACTGGTGAGGCAGCATCCGACAGAGCAGACTATCAGAGGAAGATTCAGGAAGGGGGACAGAAGTCTCACTGGGGTAGAATTTGGTAGAGCAGAGCCTCAGCCTTGCGTTTCTCCTCCAGATAGGCCTGTGTGCGTTCCTCCACCAGCTTCTCCAAGTTATTGGCATACTGCTCCATGCGCAGCAGGAGGTTGTCCAGTATGCTGGTGCCACCCTCCCTGGGGGAGGAGGCCAGAATATGGTACCTGCTCCACGATTCTCAACACTCCCACTACTTTTCTACCCAACCCACCCTTTTGGACCCGCCCCGCCCCACCTCATCCACTGAGCCTGATGAGGCTTCTAGCCCTGGGGAGCCCCTGCCTCTCAGCGCCCTCTCACTTGTTAAAGCGGCGAATGAAGCACTTAATCTGTCCAAAGTCTGGCCTCTCAGCTGGGTCCTGGGCCCAACATCGCTCCATCAGCAAAACTAGTTCCTCATTCAGTTGGGTCCGGTCAATGCTAGGCCGAAAATATGGCCGCTGACCATTTCTGACCTTCTGAACAATTTCTGAAGGAGATAAAGGGGTTGGATGAAGAACAGTTTCCCCCCCACCCCCAGCCACACACACACACATACACACACACAGGAAGGAGAGGGGGAGGGAATTGGGGCTCTCACCTTTGGGGCTGACTAACTCTCACCTTTGGGGCTGAGGTCCAGGCTCTCCAAGTAGAATGGACCACTGCGAAGTGCTATCTCCTGTAATATGATCCCAAAGCTATAGACATCAGCCTTCTGCATGCCTGTGGTTGGCAAGGGGTTCCCACTGAGTAGCTCTGGGGCAGTCCACAGCTTCTCTGAAAAGAGGGAATAGGCTGACCAAGTCCTCAAAACAGGTATTCCCAAGACCACTTGGGCTCATTCCCATAATGTTCCCCAATTACTGTCATTCTCCCTCTCCCACCTTCCCTAGGTGGAAATGACCAGGGTAGAGGAGCAATATAAAAGTGGGCTTGAGGGTCTCACTGGCATAGAGGGCATGGCTGTCATCAGGTTCAGCAGTTGATCGGAAGCTGGCCAGGCCATAGTCTGTGATTTTGAGCACGAAACGACTATCCACCACACAGTTGGAGGACTTGAGACTCCCATGGAATGCAATAATGCTGTTATGCAGAAAGGCCATGCCCTGCAGGATACAGATCAAGTCATGGGATTGGATTGTTTCTGGTTTAGGATACCCCCTCTCCATGAGACAGGCGTTAGCTAGCTGTCTAACGATCTTGGGACCATAAAAACAGTAAGCTAATTGTGGAAGGCTTCCTGTACACAGTTTCCACCCAAGGAAACAGACAGAATAGGAAAACCATCCCTTCTTTGTACCATATGCAGTCTGTTGATACCCAGGTACTAGGAATAAGAGAAATGCTTATGAGGAGGGACGAGGGGAGCTATCAGTTATGAGCCTGGAAAGGGCAATCAGGCTTCTGAGTAGTAAAGGGAACAGGACTATGAGAGTGAACTTCAAGAATGATATGACACCCATGGTGGCCTCAAATGCATGGCCACTACTTAGGAAGACATGGCTTGAGACCCAAGCAAGATTCAAGAGTATTTAGATGCATCAAGGAAGATTAATGAGTTATAAACCTTAATGCATACCCATGTGTAGGTAGGCAAGTAAGGATGGAGGAGGAAATTGATCTACCAGAGGGAATTCTGAGCCAGAGAAAAGTGTAGAAAACAGTAAATTAGAAAAACTTGGAAAAAAGGAAAAACCTGAAAAATGGACAAAAGTAAGATACAGCTGCCAAGCCAGTGAAGAAGCCTGAAACTTCTGGCCTCATGGGACTAATAAAATAACCTTATGAGAATTAAGCAGAAAAATCAAAGCTGGCCCGGCCAGTCTGGTTCAGTGGCAGAGCATTAACTCATGAACCAGGAGGTCATTGTTCAATTCCAGGTCAGGGGCACATGCCCCAGTTGTGGGCTTCATCCCCAGTAGGGGGCATGAAGGAGGCAGCCAATCAATGATTCTCTCTCATTATTGATGTTTCTGTTTCTGTCTCTTTCTCCCTCTTCCTCTCTGAAATTAAATATATATATATATATATATATATATATATATATACACACACACACACACACACACACACACATATGTATGTATGTATGTATGTATGTATGTATGTATGTATTTATCAAAGCTGGCTTCAAGTGTGGTATGAATAATCCACTAGGCCAGTGGTCGGCAAACTCATTAGTCAACAGAGCCAAATATCAACAGTATAACAATTGAAATTTCTTTTGAGAGCCAAATTTTTTAAACTTAAACTTCTTCTAATGCCATTTCTTCAAAATAGACTTCCCCAGGCCGTGGTATTTTGTGGAAGAGCCACATTCAAGGGGCCAAAGAGCTGCAGTTTACCAACCACGGTACTAGGCTTGCTTATTGACTACGACACTTGTTTCTAAACACTTGTCCAACCCATGCAAGGTTCAAATTTATACCATTGTAAGTCCATGGACTTCTGGATCACCTAAAAATAGCTGAAACGTAGTATATTAGAAGATTCCAAAAGTTTACTATAATTTTCCTTGGTTTCCCTTAGTTTTACTAGTAAATGTTCTTTTTTATATGTTCAGTTTTTCTGAACAAAAGAACAAATATGCCAAATATTGGTCAGAGAATAAATTATGAAAACAAAAACATGCAATAAATATTTCTAGAGACCCTATTCATCTTTTCCCTGCTGAGAGATTTTAATATGAGCTCTTGGAGGGGGAAAAAAAAAAAAAAAAAAAAGAGAGAGAGATGGAGAGAGATCTGAGATATCTATGGAATAAAGACAAAAATTCTCTACAAAGTACAGAACTGTCTGGGGCAGATAAAGCTCATTCCCCCAATTAAAAATCCCAGACCCTTTGATAACCCATTATTACTCAACAACAGAAATAGGGGAAATGGAGAGAGGGCTAGAAGGAGAAATCGTAGACAAAGATAGAAAAATGGAGGCATTTTAAAATGGATGAACTCTTAAAGAGGCGCAGGGAAGACTCACCTTAACAAGGTCATTAATGAGTGAATAACGAAACATCCAGTCCAAGTTGATGCTGTCATTTTCCAGAATATCCTGGCAAGACATGAAATGGATTATGTGACTACCCTCGTCCCACTAGCTATCAGCTGCACAGAGTCCATGTAACATTGAGCCTGTCTCCCCCACCTCTGTAACCTCCACCCCTCCCTCACCTGTAAGCTCCCACGGGTGCAGTACTCAGTGACGATGCAGATGTTGGGAGGGTCTATGCAAGCACCAATGAAGCGAGTGAGATGGTTGAACTGAACATCTCTCATCTAGAAAAAAAGTGGGAAAAGAGAATTGAGAGAGCTGAAAATTCAATTCGGAAATCTACCACTATATGGGAGGACCTTAATCTCAATTGTACTTATAATTTAAAGTCATTTCGAAATGAACCCTCTGCCCTCCTAACCAGTTTCACTATTCACAGTCCTCCCCTTTCTCTTGCCTGTCCCTGTTTGCCCCTTGCCCTCAAGCCATACACCTTTACTTACGTGTTTGAGTTCAAACAGAACCTGCCGGGTCAGCTCGATGCGCTTCTTATTCACGTGTTTGATGGCAACAACATTTCCCTGATGGTGGGAGTGAAGGGGGGAAAGGGGAAGTTAACATCAGAAGGCATTCCCGGGTGCGAGGAATACTGGAGAACTCGGGGGGCATCGAGGAGCTCAGCTGGACATTATGAGGGGGCAGAGGTTCATGGGAAGAGGTGACAGATGGGAATGAGACAGGGTGAAATGTTGGGGACCAGAACAAGCGGATGACTGTTCACCTTGAAGTGACCGGTGTTGGCAAAGATCTGGTATTTCCCATGGGCTGTCATAAGCGAGCCGTAACTGGATCCCCGCTGGGGCCAAGGGCAACATGGAGGCGGAAGGATGAAAGGAACATTAGATGGCGGTGGTAGGGCAGGGGCTATCATTACAGGCCAATGTGCTGGGAGAGGGCCAGGGACAGAAAGGACAGGAACTCAAAGGAAAGCGGAGGTACAGCTGAGAGAGACAAGGGCTCACCAGTGACAGCGTGAGGCGGCTGCCTGCCCCTTTGTGGTATCGCTCTGAATTGCCAAACTGCAGCTCTTCCCAGCGAATGCGCCACAACATGCTAGCAAGCTCCTTCTCCAGCATCAGCTTTCTGTAAGGACTGCACACCTCAGTTGACTGGCAAGCCCGAGCCTACCACCCCATGAACCAACGGCGGGGCTGCAGGGGTCCCCTGCAGCTCCTCAAGCTGCTACTGTTACCCCCGAAACACGGGACTGGCATCGGACACACGTGCCGCGTGCTCATTTAGAAACACAGAGGCCAAAGGTAAAAGATTTTTTTCCCCTGAAAATGGCAGCATCCGTGGAAAATTCACCTTTGCCCTTGGAAGACCCCGCTCAAAATCACTAGGTAGTATTCCCCCAAAATGGGAAAACAACACCGAGGCTAAAAGACAACTCAAGGAGCCGAGACCGGTTTGGCTCAATGGATAGGGTGTCGGCTTGGGGACTGAAGGGTCCCAGGTTCGATTCCGGTCAAGGGCATGTACCTTGGTTGCGGGCATATCCCCAGTAGGGGGTGTGCAAGAAGCAGCTGATCGATGACTCTCTCTCATCGATGTTTCTAACTCTCTATCTCTCTCCCTTCCTCTCTGTACAAAATCAATAAAATATATTTTTTTAAAAATTAAAAAAATAAAATAAAATAAAAAGACCACTCAAGGAAAAGGCTAGAGCAGAGGACCAAGAGACAGCCTCCGAACTAAGAGGCCTGCCTCCGGCCCACGTTATAGGGCCTGCCTGGCCTCGGTCACAATGCTGTGCGGCCATGGGGGGGCGGGAGGCAGGAGGTCAGAGGAAAAGCCCAGAACTCACCGGAAGATGAGAAAGCTGGAAACACCAAACACGATGAAGGTGATGCCTGTGCCCAGCGCCACGATTGCCAGAGTTGAAAGTGGAGCTAAAGGGGAGAGGGGGGCCCTGAGGAAGACTGCGCGGGGGGAGGGGGGGACTGTGAGAACGGGGAGGGTGATGCTCGGGGTGCAGGGCGTAGACAGATTCTTGAGGGGAAGGAAAAGGAGGGGTGCAGAAGCAGAGGTAAAAGGAGAGCTACGGTGGGGAGCAGTGAGGGCAGGGGGGGCGGGAAGGGAAGGGAGGAAGGAGCGCTCCCGGTGCCTGCACACACCCACTTTTATCACAGGACGGGTCGTCCAAGTCAAAGGCACAGGGGGGGTTGTCCAAGGGCGGCGCCCCTTTCACCCAGGGGATCGGCCATCCTGTCCACCAGATCTGCTTCTCGGCTCCTGAGTAGTGGGCTGCAGGCTGTGAGGAGGGAGAGCGCTGGGCCCAGGGGCCTGCTCCCGCCCGCTGTCTCCCCGCAGCCCCCAATTCTTTGGCTGCTCTCCCCCAACCTCCTGCCCACCCAGAGGCACCTCCAGCAGAGAAAACGGTCCCTGCCTCTAGTTCCTCTGGTTCTGCGGAACCCTGAAGGCCGGACTCGCAGAGCCCACACCCTCCTCCTCGCCTCCTCCTCCATCACCTGAAAGTCCCCGGAATCCAGGTCTCCCATGGCCCACAGCACAAAGTCAGTCTCCCGGTCATTGTTCTTGTCCATGACCACCAGTCCGGTGACACCTAAGATAGGAAAGCGCAGCCCTGACTTTGAGATCTACCTTTGGCCCCTCCCCTATTTCCTCAGCTCCTCCGATTACCTCAGTCTGCCCCTGACCCTGCTTTTATTTTTTTTTTTTTTAAATATATATTTTATTGATTTTTTTTTACAGAGAGGAAGGGAGAGGGATAGGGAGCTAGAAACATTGATGAGAGAAAAACATTGACCAGCTGCCTCCTGCACACCCCCTCCCCCCAATCGAGAATGTGCCCGCAACCAATGCACATGCTCTTGACCGGAATTGAACCCGGGACCCCTCAGTCCGCAGGCCAATGCTCTATCCACTGAGCCAAACTGGTTTTGGCCTTTTTTTTTTTTTTTTTTTTTTTTTTTAAATATATTTTATTGATTTTTGTACAGAGAGGAAGGGAGAGAGATAGAGAGTTAGAAACATCGATGAGAGAGAGTCATCGATCAGCTGCCTCTTGCACACCCCCTTCTGGGGATATGCCCGCAACCAAGGTACATGCCCTTGACCAGAATCGAACCCGGGTCCCTTCAGTCCCCAAGCCGACGCTCTATCCACTGAGCCAAACCGGTTTCGGCTGGCCTTTTTTTTTTTTTAAGTCCTCACCAGAGGACATGTTTTTAGTAACTATTATTATTATTGTTGTCGTAGTTGTTGTTGTGAGAGGAAGGGAGAGAAAGAGAAACATTGATGTGAGAGAGAAACATTGATTATTTGCCTTCCCTGGCCAGGGATTGAACCCACAACCTTCTGGTGCATGATATGACACTCCAACTAACGGAGCCACCCGGCCAGGGCCCCTGACCCCACTTTTAATAAGTGCCCACGTCTGCCATGTTCTCCGAACCCTATTAACTCTCCTCCCTGCCCGATATCTGCATTTTCTTCTACCCCGAGCCTGAGAGCAGCCCTCCGGCCTCCATCGGACCCTCTTCATTACCCTGGTATCTCCGTCCCCGGATTTTTTCCACAATTCGAAGTCCATCTTCCCGGGTGCCTCCTTCCTGTATCGTCTCCCTCAGGACTTCGGCGTACAGCAGGATCCCGTCGTAGAAGCAGCCGGCGATGAGGTTCATCTGGGGGTGGAAACTCCACGGTGCTCTCCGATATCCCGCCAGGCCCCAGCCCCTCACCCCCTTCCCATCACTGGGGTCTCCTTCTACCTCTTCCCTCTTCTGGTTTGCTTTCTTCCCTGCTCTCCTTCCTCAGGTTCACCCCTACTCACTGGATGCCAGAGCAGAAGGAAAGCCCTGGCTGGACCTGGACAGCCCCCGCTGCTTAACGCTGAGTCAGGGAGGAGAGCTTCCCTCAAGGCCCCGCCTGATCCTCAGGAAAGAGATCGACTCACCAGGGAGGGGGCCAGCTCCACGCCAAAGTCTTCCCGGGCTCGTATCAGCAGACGATTCTGGAACTCCTGATACTCGGGATTTGGGGGTTCTCGGTATGTGATGACCAATACCGTCTGTACCAACAGCACATGGGGAAAGTGAACAGGATGTCCAAGATGGGTTTTAGGGGAAAGAGGGGAAGCAGGAGAGGAAACTTGGTGAAATGCACATGATATATAATATACATGGGTGAGTCTGAAGGCTGAGAGGACATTAAACTCCATGTTGTGTGCATGTGTGTGTGTGGGGGGGAGGTATGTGTAGCTTGTGTTTAATGTATCTGCGGAGAGGGTTGGCACACCTTCACGAAAGGTAGACAGGACGGTTCTGGGACAGTGGAGCCTGGTCTTCCATCCCCAGAACCCAGCCCCTCATCTTCCTGAAGCCCCTGTCACCGCCTAGGCCTCCTTACAGAGCTGCTCAGCACTCACAGCGTCTCTGTCCCCTTCTTTCTGGGTGCCTGCTCATGCTCAAGGGCACCCCTGAGCAACAGCTCCTCTCTGAGGTGTTTATTACTGTTCGTGTGACCAGTAAAATGTTTACATTTCCATTTGGGACATTTGAACACAGTGCCTCCACCCTGTGAAATCAAAGAGATTTCAGGTCCTATGACAACTGGGGGAAATACCTTGAGATAGTGATTCCATCTGTGAAAAGCCATAAGCCTATCCATTTAACGTGTGTGGAACACCCGCCACAGGCAGCACGGTCCTGCATCCTGGCATGATCCTACACGTCACTAAGCAATAGACATGCGTCACAGGGAAAACACACAGTCACACGCCCACACATATTTCCTAGATAAGTGAACGACACGTTTGGTCTCAGCCACGCGCACATCTCACCGGCCACACGTCGGTGTGTGTCTGCCTCCCCCTGGGGTGTCCGCCTCACTCCCCCTGGACTCCCTCACTTCCCCTCTCTTAGCTGAGAGCACCCTGGCTTCCACCGCCACCCCAGTCCTGCACAATCATTGAGACGACCTCTGCCTTGGACGGGAAACTGGCTCTGCAACCTCAGGGAAAGACCTCAGATCTGTATAGATTGTGAAATGTGAAACAACAGGTTTAAATCTAGTCATTTCTATCAGTTTTGTTTGTTCTTGCCACAGAAAGCACGTACGGAGATACCAGACATGTCACATACGATCTATTTTATATCGATTTAGCCCACGTCGGAAAGAATGAAGTCAGTATCTCATGTACATTCACTGTAGACTGGAGTTTGCTCTGTGAGGTAATTGTCCTTACGGAAGCATTTGGATGCTTCATCACACGCTACTAATGCTCTCCTGCTCTCGGGCAAAATGAAAAAGGAGGGAGGGGCTGAGGATGGGGTTGGAAGGGTTTGTTGAGTAACATCTGTCCCAAGAATAAAAGAAACAGGAGGGAGGGTATTGTTGACAGATAATGAAAAAGTCAGCAGAAGGGCTGGAAAAGATCAGGTTTGACACAATTTATGTTTCCATATAAAGGCTAATGATAGGTTTTTCATGTTTTTAAACAGTAAACCCAGAGAGGTTTGTTTGTTTGCCAGACCAGCAGTTCTCAGACTTCTTGGTCTCATGACCCCTTTACACTGCTAAAAATTATCGAACTTTTGTTTGTTTGGACTATAGCTATCGTATTTACAATAGGAGAAATTAAAACTGACAAACTTCTTAAACACAAAGCACACTTCCCTGAGCTGCCAGAGGATGACATCATCACACGTCACGTAGCCTCTGGAAAACTCCACTGGACAATCATGGAAGGAAGAGGATGACAGAGGCAAATAACATCTTAGCATAATTTTTAAAATAGTTTTGACTTCACCGTTCCCTAAAAGGATTTCAGGGGCCCCCAGGCTCCCAAGACCACACTTTAAAAACTGCTATGCTAGACTGTTTTGCTGTGGTGAGTAGCTAGTAAAAAATGGAAGGAAGGAAGGAAGGAAGGAAGGAAGGAAGGAAGGAAGGAAGGAAGGAAGGAAGGAAGGAAGGAAGGAAGGAAGGAAGGAAGGGCAGACCTTCAAAGAGTTTCTGTGCTTGTGGGGGCATCAAAGAGAAGAAGTGAAGGTAAGTAATTATGTCCTATTTCACAATAGATCCCAGGTGTCTGTCTCTCTCTCTGTCTCTCTGTCTCTCTGTCTCTCTGTCTCTCTCTCTCTCTCTCTCTCACACACACACACACACACACACATGCACGCGTGCGCGCGCCAAGCAAAGACTACCAAAAAAAAAAAAAAAAAGGATTTAGCAGTTGGAGTGCTCCCAGGAAGAGTGCAAGGGCAGCAGACGGCTGCCTCTGCCTGAGGCCCCCCACTGCGACCTGCTCCCCAGCAGCCACAGGATCCCTGCTCACTGCGACTTAAAAAGACAAAGAATGGCCTCCCCAGGAGGTTGGCCTTCCACACAGCCCCTGGTTTAGTGCTCGTTCCATTCTAGCTGCTTGTGACCCCACCGAGGCTGTGGCCTCTGCCTGGGCTTCTGACCCTCAAATGCTCCTTCTGACGCTCCCTTAGTCCTCAAATGCTCAGGCAGGGTCCCTGGGTCCTCAGAGCCCAGTCAGTTGCTTATTTCGTTCCACTGCATCTGCTCATCTTCCCTGGCTGATCATCCCGGTTTGCAGCACCTGCCAGCTCTATTCCTGTCTAGACGAATTCCTCGCCCTCTCCCTGCTGACCCCAACATGCACCTTAATTCAGTTCAACCAATATGTACTCAGCACATGGAATACCACGATGAACATGACCCCTGCCCGCAAGCGGCTCCCCATGAGCAGGAGACCCTCCGGCAACAGCTCTGAGCACCTGCACCACGGCTGCCGCGCCTCTACCGCCACCTGCTTCAGATCGGCTTGGTTTGGGGCCCGAGTGGGCCAGGGCGCTCTGCTCTTTCACCCTTGGCTGGACCTGACCACCCACCTTCCCTCACCCTTGCCCTGCCTCGGTTTTGGAAAAGGATGAGAGAGAGTAGCTTTGCCAGAGCTACTCTCTGGCAAAGCTACTCTTTGCCCCTTTCATCCCCTCACCCCCACCCCATCCCAAGCCTTGGTTTTCCCATCAGCACATTCCCGACGGCCTGTTTCCCCTTCTGTTGTTGTATTGTAAGAAAACTCTCCCTCTGACTGTCTTTCTGTCTGAATAATGCCTACAATGAATAGGAAAACTGGGAATTCATTTAAAGAACAGTTCGCTAACAATATCCCTCCTCTCCTTACCCTAAGTGCTGGGGCCCCGTGGCTGATAGAAATTCTCATGCAAGAAACAGAGGTGCTCCTTCCACAGGAAAAAATACACCCCAAAGGCTATAGCATCCTCCCATCCAGGAGAGCCCTAGGGACCTTTCTTGACCAAACTAGCTAAAACACAACCCCCTTGTTATTTTTCTTCTTCATACAGGTCTACTGTCTTTTTAAAAAGTTTACTAACACATCGCAATTTATATTTGTATTTGTTTGCTTAATGTCTGTCTATCCTACTAAGTGTAAGCTCCAAAAAGGCAGGGACTTACTTCATCTGTCATGGTCTCCACTATACACCAATACCTGCACAGTGACCGGGAAATAGCCAGGACTCGATAAACACTAAGAGAATACGTCAGCCTTCAAATGAATCAAACACTGACTGAACAGTATATAAATTCCACAGTACACAGAGTTAAACACAAGAGTAGGAAACTCATTCCAACCGGGAGATTCAGGGATTGTTTCCTAAAAGGGAAAATAATCGATCTGAGCCTTGAAGAATCTGCAAGCATTATCCAGATGCACAAAGGTGAGAAGGCTGTTTTAGGCAAAAGTTATGACATAAAACCTGTCTTGCCACTGCCTATGTTTAGGTGTGACAGTCACAAACTCATACTAGGGCATCCAAGCAGAGAATGTCATTCACAGTCAGATGCATGTTAGTCAGTCACAATCACATATATAAATCTTACTCTTGAAATCTTACTCATTAGAGAAGATGGCCATTTAAGTTCAACCCTCATAAATGTCTACTTAGAGTCAAAGAATCTCCAAGCTAAAAGGACCTTAAGGTTATCCCATACACCATCCAAATCCTTTTTGGGGAAAAGGAGGAATAAGGATAAATAATAAATACTTACATACATAAGTCAGTGAAATATTGGTGAGCGGATCAGGGAGTAATAATTCATGGGTAGGATCTTAAGAGGCAGAGATCTTGGGGGAAAGAAGAGTATCCCAGACAAAATAATCAAAGAGACAAAGATGGAGGGCAGAGAGGTGCGGGGGTCAGGGGCTGGAGTACTTGGCATGAAGGGTAAGATTGAAAAAGTAGGTTGAAGACAAACTATAGAAGCTCTTAAACAAAATAACGAGGTAGGATTTAATTCTTTAGTAAATAAAACATTGAGAGTTTTGATAAGAGTGAAATGAACAGAATCATGTCAGTTCTCCTTACAACCTGTTTCTCAAATCCATTTCTTTCCATTCCTTTCATCACCCTATTTCAAAGTCATATCATTTCACTCCTTCCTAACCTTTTACAGGTGGCCTCACTGCCTCTAGCCTCCTCTTCTTCCAACCCAACCTGAATTATCCATTATATTTCTCTTTACACAAAAATCTCCAGGATCCACAGTCAAGTCCAAGTGCCTTATTCTTAGCTCAGGGCTCTCCTTACATACGTAAGTCAGTGAAATATGAGTTCCTGTACCTATGTCAGGTGAACCCTGCTTTCCTGTCAGGCCAGTAGCTCCTTTTCCTTCTTTTTTATTGTCTAAAGTTTTACATCTGCCTCCTTTTCCCCCAATTGACCACCCCAGTCACTCCCACCCCAGGCAAGCCCCCGCCGCCCCAGTGTCTGTGTCCACTGGTTATGTAATATGAGTGCATACAAGTCCTTTGGTTAATCTCTAGCCCTCCCCCTCCCTAGGTCAGTATCTTCTTGACCCCCTAAACATGCCCATTCCAATCTTTTTCTCTTTGCTCAGGCTGCCTGAGCAGGAGGAATATGATATTTCTCTTTAAAGTCACAACAGTCTCACTTCCTTTATAAAAGCCATCCCGAACCCCAGCCACAGGGACCCTCCCTCCTCTGAACCACTAACGTTCTCAGTGCTGTTCCGGGACACACAATCCCATCTTTTCTAGCACTTGTACCTAATTGTACCACATCACGCCGTGCCCCTCCAAAAAGGGTGGGAGCCCTCCTGCCAGCTGGGGCCAGATCTTTTCCTGACCTTTTCTCCCCTGCACGACAGTCTGCTACTGGCGCTTAGGAAAGTCAGTGTTCTGGGATCTTGGGAGGCAGCCTTGGCAGACACGCGGAAAAGAAGTCACCCAGGTGAGGGAGTGATACAGAATGATACTGGGCTAGAAAAGCCTCTGTTCCTTTCACTCCTGCAGCTCACAGTCCCTGCCCTGCCTCTGGGCTCCTGCGGGGTCTTGTGAGAGGCAGAGAATCTGCAAAGAAGCTCCACTGCCCCCACCTCCTTCACGTTCGGCTTAAGCGATACCTGGAAGGCCTCTCGGAGGGCCTGGGCCTGTTCCCACGTGCGATTGTCCTGCCAAGGCCGGCCGGCACGGAGGCTCTCCCCAAAGACATCCAGGTAGAAGAAGACATAGTCCCCATTGGTCAGGTTCTCCCTCTGGGCCTGGAGCAGGATCTCATGCAGCATCTCCAGAGGGCCGCAGATGTACACAACTGGGAGCGGGGATACACCGGGGGGGGGGGGGGGGGGGTGTGCACCCTGAGGACGCGTCCAGGTCCCCAGACAGCCCCCTCTCTGGAACCATCTTCACTGCCATCATTAGTAAGGAAGAGAGTGCCCTAAGCTATCAACCACCCAACAGATGCTCCCCACCCTCCCCCCTTGGAGTCTATGTCGTAAGTACCCCGGGGCTGTGTGGACCATCTGGCAGAGGTCAGAGCTCGATCCAGCCCCCAGGAAAGGGAGCTATCAGCCTGAAGCCCCTCCTCTTCCCAGACCCCTGCCAGCCCTCCTCACTCCCCCACTGCCCTGCCTGTCCCAGGCCTCAGAGGCACTGGCTGCTCAGAATTTCTCAGTCTGAGCTTTACATGTCTTTCCACACCCCGTCTCTGTGGAACCCAAAGCCCACTGGTAAAGTCACCGATGTTTCAGTGATTTACCATAGACCCACACTCTGAGGGGTCTTGGTATCCCCCAGTCTCTGCTTGCAGAGAGCCATGCATTCTGAGGTGGCCATCAACTCACTCACTACTCTAGGGCACGGCTCCCCAAATTCAGTATCTTCTCACTCCTGCATAGTCCCCTGACACAAGCGTCACCCCTCACGCTGCCTTCTTCCTTGTTGACATCTGCCTGTGATGTCAGCAAGCTCCCCTAAGGTAGCTTGCTGACCCTAACCCTAACCCTAACCCCAGCCCACACACAGGTGCTCTGTCCACACGCTTCTCGACCCCAACCACCCCAAGCAGCTAGCTCCTCCCGGCCTGTCTCCATCTGCGCCTGCCCATGAACACAGGGGACCCCCCCCCCCCCCCCCCGCTTCTCCCTCCCCTGACCCTCAGGCAGCCCAGGCCGCAGGGGCTACACTCACTGCGCCCGTTGGCCCGGATGAAGTGGGTGGCCTGCTCCGGGCCCCCGGGCTCGCGGGCGTACACGTGGTGCTGGACGCTGAGGTTGCTACCCTGCAGGGCCTCGAAGACGCCCTCCACGGTGAAGTAGTGCGGCCGGTCGTCCATGCGCGCGTCCAGGTAGAGCAGGGCGGCGCGCGCGGTCCAGTTGAAGTGGCCGTGCAGCGCCACCACGAACTCGCCCAGCTTGGGCGCCGAGGGCCCGGTGCGCACCAGCGTGCGGTAGTGCTCGCTCTTGGCCGCGAAGCCCGAGGCCACGGCGCCCGCCGTCAGCAGCGGCAGCCGCCAGTGCGAGGCGAAGCGCGCCACCGAGGCGGCGGGGTACACGCACCCGGGGCCCAGCAGCAGGTCGGGGTCGTGGTACAGCTTGAGGTCCACGGCGCGCAGCGGCGCCAGGTACTCGGAGCACGCGCCGTCCAGCTCGGAGCTCACGAAGCGCAGGTCCACGGGCAGCGCCCGGCCCAGCGCCTCCACGGCCAGGGCCACGGCGGGGCCCACGCGCGGCCAGGCCCAGGCGTAGCTCAGGTTGTGCTCGGGCAGCACCACCGCCAGCGTCAGGTTCCGGGCCAGGGGAGGAGGGCGCACCCCACCTGCCAGGGCTGCCACCGCCGCCAGCAGGAGTGATGGCAGGGCCATGGGGAGCAAGCAGCAGCCCCGCTGCCCCCAGCACCCCCGGCCCCCGGGGCCCCCCTGGCCTCCCCTGCAGGCCCGAGCACCGCCCAGCCTGGAACCCGGGGCCGAGGCCAGGCCGGGAGCCAGGGGAGGGCCAGCTAGCCGGGCAGGGGGCACCGTGGCAGGGGGGCGTGGAGGGATGGGGGGCCCAGGGGCTGGGTGAGGGCAGAGGGCGAGGAGCAGCGGGGCGGCGGGAGGAGGGAGGGGCCCAGGGGGCTGCGACCGGGATGGGGCAGGGAGGTGGAGGAGGTTTCTGAGTCCGAAGTTAGGAAGGAGGAGAGGACCCGAGGCTGCGGCGGGGTAGGGGCCGGGAGGGGGCAGGCTGGTCCCAAGAGAAGGCCCGGGGGGGCCTCGCCGCTGGAGGGGCGAGGAGGGCAGCGAGCGGCGCGGAGGGGGACCCCGGGGGGAGGTGGGAGGGGGCCCGCCCCGCCAAGGACGCGGACCATGGGCAAGCAAGGCCCGGCCGGAGGGCGGAGGGAGGCGGGAGGCTCGCCCGGGGAAGAAGGCAGGCTTCTCCCGAAGCGGCTCCAGCGCGGACTGACTTAACGGGCCCGGGGCGCTGGTCCCATCCGGAGCCGCGGCGGCCCCGCCCGTGTCCCGGCTCCGCTGGCTCCGCTCCGCTGCTCCGGGCCCAGCCGGGCTGCAGGCGCGGCCGCGCTCCCTCCGCCCCCGCCTGGGCCCCGCCGCCGCCGCCGTGTCCAGGTCAGGTCGCCGCGGCCCGGCCCGTCTCCGCTCCCTGCGCCCGGCGGCGGCCGAGAGTGACTCCCCGGGCAGGCCGCCCGCCCCCGCCCCCGCCCGCAGCCCCTCCTCCTGCCCTCCCGGCCCCACCCTCCCGGGCCTGCCGGCTCCCACTCCACCCCCCAGCCTCGGTCCTCCCCGGTCTCACACCCACCGGGACAGCCTGGCGGGGGCTCCGCACAGGTCTGCGGGTGTCCTTGCACGCTAAGGGCCTACCCCTGTCCCACACTCTCCCATCAGCCCGGGCCTCTCTCCCCACCCCTCAGGCTCCCTCTCTGGGCAGAGGGTCCTCTCTCTTTACTCAGCTGAGCCCCTCACACACTCCAGCCTCCAGGAAGCAGTCAGGAACCCCCACATAGTTGGGATCTAGTCCTCCACCTAGGAAACCGTACCACCCTCCCCATTCCAGGAACCGCTCCCCGCCAGGAAGACAGGCCCTCTTGCTAGAAGGCGGGCCCCTCCAGGGCCCAGAGGCGCCCAGGATCGATTTTCCCAGAGCCCTTCCAACGCCCATGAGGCTCCTTCTGCCTCAGGACTCAACACTCCAGCCTCCCTCTTCCGACCCCACCCTCTGGGGCCTTCCCGTGTCCTCAGAGGCCCACCACGGCCCAGGGGCTGCCACCAGACCATCTGCTGCTGCAGGGCAGGAGCCCAGAACAGACTCTTGTCTCCTTTGTCTGCTCACACAGCACAGGCCCGCACCCATAAGAGCTCAGGCACTGCCGAAACCGGTTTGGCTCAGTGGATAGGCGTCGGCCTGTGGACTCAAGGGTCCCAGGTTCGATTCCCGGTCAAGGGCATGTACCTTGATTGCGGGCACATCCCTGGTAGGGGGTGTGCAGGAGGCAGCTGATCGATGTTTCTGACTTTCTATTCCTCTCCCTTCCTCTCTGTAAAAAATCAATTTTAAAAAATTATATAACTATATCTATATCTGAGCTCAGGCACTGACTCAGCAGAAGACTCCCCCAACAACAGAAGGCCACTCTCTCCCCCTTGGGCTCCACCCCACTCCCAAGCTTCCAACCTAGAAGGCTCACCCCAGGTACCCCCTATGTGGAGTGCTGATCTGACTCTGAGGAACAGCCTGTGCGGGATGATGCCATGATTGCTGGGAGGGACGGCTGTGGGACCCTGGGGACCTAGCTGTTCTCCGTTGTCATAAAGAACATGCACATCAACCCACTCTCCTCCCGCAGCCAAGAGCCACAGTTTCTCTCCCGTTTCAAGCCACTTCGGAAATCCTAGTGCTAAGAAGCTGAGAGAGCTTCTGGGTAGTAGGAGGGAGGGTGAGAGGAGGTGCAGGGAGAGAGGAAGGGGGGTAGTTTCTCTGAGATGAAGGCGACATCTAGTGGTTCCGGGGGGAAATTTAGTGCTGTTTTATTCTTAGGGACAGTATTTCTTCATGGAACACCGACTGCCTTGCACAGCAGCAGGGGCAAATGAAAGATAGCTGGATGGTACAGTCCTTACCTTTGAGGAGCATATCATTGGATCCATGAGGTCCCAACACCAAAGGCAAGTCCCCCAACAAATGTCTCCTGCTCCAAGCCCAGTAGAGATGGAAGATAGCTCCTTTTTTTTTTTTTTTTTTTTTTTTAAATCAAGGAGGGATGGTAACTGGAGTCCCAGCTTCCAACACTGGTCATGAAAAGGAATTTCGTTTTATCTGAGCAAGGAAAAGAAGGGATAATCATCAAAAGGGTGACAGGAAAAAAAGATGGCTCTAACTTTAGACCAAGCAATACTTTTCAAGCAACTACATGCAGCTTAAGGAGGGAAGCAAGTCCCAAGTGACACAATCCCTGGCAGAATCACAGAATGCCAGGGCTAGAAGTAATCCTGTAAATATGTTGTTCAATCCTCTCCTTTAAAGGTGTTTGAAACTAAGTCCCAGAGGGGAAGTCACATAGCTTCCTCCCCCAACCTGATGGCTTTTGATGGCAGAGCGGAGACTGAAATCAGGTTTGCTGGTCTCTAAAGCGGAGCTCTGTACAGATATTCTGCTGACTCATGGAACTCACTATACGAAGCCATGCTTATGGGGCAATGGCCACCAAAGACACAGACGATTCTCTCTGGAACACCAATGTTGCCCAGACTCTAAGTTCAAGTGTGCGATATGTCTCTTCAAACATCTTTCCCCCTCCTTCTTCCTTCCACTGGCCACTAATACTAGAAAGTGGGGAAAGGCAGGTACTTGTCCATTGATTTTTAAGGAAAGTAGAAGAGAGAGGAAAAGACAGAGAGAAACATCGATGTGAGAGAAACACATTGATCGATTGCCTCCTGCACGAGCCCTGACCAGGACTCGGGCTGGGGAGGAGCCCTTGACCAGAATCAAAACCAGGACCCTTCAGTCCACAAGCCAACGCTCCGTCCACTAGACTAAACTGGTTAGGGCATCAGTGAAAGCTTTTTGGTTTGTTTTTCATTTGGGGGACGAAGGGTTAAAAATGTAAGATAAATGAAAATTTTGGTTACCTATATATTCCCATGCCTGGGAAATCTAAAGATCCTGCTGGCCTGCCAAAACCAGTTTGGCTCAGTGGATAGAGTGTCGGCCTGCGGACTCAAGGGTTCCAGGTTCGATTCCGGTCAAGGGCACATCCCCAGTAGGGGGTGTGCAGGAGGCAGCTGATCAACGTCTCTCTCTCATCGATGTTTCTAATTCTCTATCCCTCTCCCTTTCTCTCTGTAATAAAATCAATAAAATAAATATGTTTTAATATATTTTATTGATTTTTTACAGAGTGGAAGAGAGAGGGATAGAGAGTTAGAAACATTGATGAGAGATGTTTCTAACTCATATATATTTTATTGATTTTTTTACAGAGAGAAAGGGAGAGGGATAGAGAATTAGAAACATCGATGAGAGAGAGACGTCGACCAGCTGCCTCCTGCACACCCCCTACTGGGGACGTGCCACAACCAAGGTACATGCCCTTGATCGGAATCGAACCTGGGACCTTTCAGTCTGCAGGCGGATGCTCTATCCACTGAGTCAAACCGGTTTCGGCAATAAAATATATTAAAAAAAAAAAAAAAAAAAAGATCCTGCTGGCCTGAGCAGCACCCAGATAGGATCCAACTTCCTCTCCGTAAGGCTGATAATGCCTCCTTCGCAGACACTGTCTGTAATTTCTTCTGGAACAGGGCCAACCCTAACACCTCATTTCTGATCCCAAACAAAGCTGTGGAGCATCGGGTCAGCTCGCTGCTAGAAGCTGCTGTGGTTTCCAAGCGGCCCTGTCCCTCGGTGGAAAGAGATCCTGATCTCAGTCACACTCAGGCCAAAGGAGCCTCAAGACCCTCGCTGGGCCCTAGAGCCACCATGGGACTTAGGCTCATGCTGATCTCATGACAAGCTGTGATGCTGCCACCTGCCTCCCAGTTCGGCACTCGGCAGTTTTATAACTTACCTGACTCGGCAGCTAACGCTGGACCCTCGGGTTTGCTCTACACCAGACTGTGCCTCCGGGCCTGTGAGAGTCCAGAGAAATAAAACACCTTCCAGTTTTCTGCCCGGCTAACCTGATTTGCAGAACAAGGTTTTGATTATATGCCATTCTCTCCTGCACGACAGACAGGGCCAAGAGAACCTGCCAACAGAGGCAGGAGAACAGCCAGAAGAAATGAGATAAAATGAGGCAGAAAAGATACATTTCAGATGCAGCATTTCAATAAGGGAGAGGAGGAAGCAGTGTAAAAAGAAAAACCTAGTGAAATGTGTTGAAGATAGAGAAGGACTTTACTAAAATTCTGCATGATTTCTTTTAACCCCAGCAAAGGAGAGAGAGAATCCTGAAAACAGGTCAAACCCCTAATATTGCTCACGTGGCCACACCCCTCCACCTCTCTAATCCCCTCTCTCTAAATAGCAGCGCACAGTCTGGTTCTAGACCTTAGGTTCTTTTTTTTTCTTTTTCTTTTTTTTTTTTTTTTAATGTTTTTATTGATTTCAGAGGAAGGGAGAAGGAGACAGAGATTTAGAAACATCAATGATGAGCCTTAACCTGTTTGGCTCAGTGGATTGAGTGTCGGCCTGTGGACTGAAAGGTCCCAGGTTTGATTCTGGTCAAGGGCATGTACCTTGGTTGCAGGCACATACCCAGGAAGGAGTGTGTAGGAGGCAGCTGATCTCTCATCGATGTTTTCATCTCTCTATCCCTCTCCATTCCTCTCTGTAAAAAATCAATTAAAAAGAAAAGAAAAAAAGAAACATC